GAGAGAAAACATTGAAAAACTGCATTCTGCGATATTGAAATAAAAAAAGTAACAACTCTGTTCTTGTTTTTGCGCGTGTGCATCGGAGACCAGTTTAGTGTGTGTGATGGTGTGAGGGTGGGAGAGGGATGGGTGAACTAAATTCAAATCAGAATTGGGCAGCAAACAGTCAGTATCCCAGGGGCATTTTGTGCATGTCGATCAATTTTCCAGCGTGCAAGAAAAAACTCATAGGATTGCGTTCAGGACTTCTCCGGATAATCGTAGACAATGTGTTCCCAATTCGGTCCGGAAGCTTTGACGGTATGTGGTGGCAAGCCGCCACGATTGATTGGAATATTGGCCGGAGTAATTATCAACTCTTCTGAGTGGAATTGTCTTAAACTCAAACGATGTCCAACCGATATTACGGTAATATTTCGTTTTCTCAAACTTTCATACGCATCACATTCGGCAGATGCGCTCAGCTGACTGGTTGATTCATCCAAGAAGGCCACTTGAGGACGACGATAGCACACAGAGGCCAGAACAACCCGTTGCATTTCGCCCGGAGAATAAGAGTTACGCCTGAAGTAGATACACGGATGTGGATACGGTAAATAACCAGGCTCAGCACAATCCATAGAATATATAATCGTCGAATGATTCTTTTAGGCGCAGAAACTGTGCATTAGAATATCAATAACACGCATTCCCTGACCATCCTGCGGATCAAACCAGGGATTGCACAAGTAGAATAACAACACCCCAACCATTCCGCTTCTGAACGCAACCGGCCGGCTATGTTTGGGCATGCTAAATACAAGTTACCGTTTTTGTTCAATGCAGCATTAATTCACAACTTGATTAGACAATCTGAGCTTGATAATCAGAAGCCTCCGAGAGCCTCAGTATGGTCGGGGGTGGGTACCTAGGGTTTCGACTGATCAACCTTTCCTTGCACCTAGCGAAATGCTTCCATACAACCAAGCGTCCCAACTAGCCTCTGCTGAGGAAACCCTACTTACTGCCTTCTCGTGGCGGAGATGTTTCCCCACCAAAGTGAGAGAACGAAAAACCGATAGCCGGGGCTATAACCGGGTTGGTGGACCACTGGTAGTTCACCCAGAGGAGTTGGCCAAAAACCCTGATTCCAAACCAAACAAGAGGCGTACGAATCACACACAACCTCCTGGTTGTGGCAGTGGTCACCGACTTGATTGGGCATCGAGGTGTATTAGGCACCTTGGACGTTTGATCCCGTGCAAAGGGCGTATGATCCGATGAACTGGACACCGGTCCCAACGGATCGTGATTTTCACACACCACCCCGCTGCCCTGTGGGTCAGGCTTTGGCTAGCCAAAGGTTCCGGTTGCGGATTCCTCAAGAAAACTCACCTACCTTGGCCTGGGTAACCTGGCAGTATTCAGCCAACATGCAAATCATGGAACACTTTTCATTTTTATAAAGATTATACCACGGTTTGTTTGGCACACAGACTAGCGTCAGACGTGTGAAATATAATAATAGTACGATAACCAGTGACCAAAGAGGAGAGAGAATAACATGGAGTTCGTATATTGCAAGTCCTTCAACAGATCTCAGTTACGTTTTAGAAACAAAAAAAAACTGTGTACCTCCTCGCATGAGCAAAATGAACAGCGGTGCTTACCATTCGCCTCCGGCAAAGTCGTACTCGCGTACCACTGTATTGCATCCAAAACGACCAAGTTTGCACACATCCGTTCGTTTTCCGTTCGAACTTAGATCGTTCAGCCTGATTAACCGGTCTGTCACGGTCTTGGCAGTCGCAGAATCTGTCAGTTTGAATTCCACCAGCAGCTTCATAGCCTCCACATAAGCATTCACACGATAACCGCAAAATACCGCGCTATTATCTGTGTAACGATTGTAGCCAGCCTCCATGTAATCTGTAAAATTCAATGGGAGTAACAAAATGCATGCATGGCAGGAGGTGCGCATATATAATATCATTGTTACAATCTTGAATCTGCTATAAAATGCAGTACCAAACCTAGATGGATGTTATTTCTTACTCTGTGCTGAGTCGAATGTATTCTACCCGACACTGAACAACAGTACACAATTTTTCTCCTCTCAAAGCACCAATTTTCCCTTTTTCTCTCAGTCTTAGTTCTGCACGTGCTGGTGGTGTGGAAGATCGACTTATGAACATAAGACATCAGGACTGAAGATCCGGGACTCATGCATGCGAGGGGAATCAGTCCGGATGTGGCATTACGCGACTAACCTCCAATTGGTGACTTTTCAGTCCCATGGAATGTCTTTTTCCAATCCTCTTGCACATCCGGTGGTGCTTCGGCCGCTGTGAGTAACAGATAGGCCAAATACAAAGCACGGAACGATGCACTGGACCCGTGTGATAGAGTGTACTCGATCGTTTCATGATCCAGCTCATCTTCCAACACGTTGAACAACTCGTACGGGCATGCGAATGCAGATGGGACGAACGGGCGTTGCGGGACCAGTAGCTGTTGTATACGAGGTGAGCGGTAGAAAAAGCTGGATTCATTGGACTGACCGATAGCGGGCACCGCAGGCCACAGCTTCCCCAGAACACGGAGCAATGCGGTTTTTCCGACTCCACTTGGGCCGGTAATGAGTAATGAGCGATTCAGCTGAAGAGTAATAGAGAGATCTTTTTTNGGGGGGGGGGGGGGCAGAAATGGTATAGAGTAAAAACAAATTTGTGTTCGAATAAATTTTCAAAACCAGAGGATTAGTAATCAAGTTAATGTTTAAAAATGAACTCAACAATACGACCAAAAGAATGACCATAACTATCACTTGGACAAGCTAGGTCTCGGTACCTCGTATGGACGTTTGCACGTGTAAGAAAAGATGTGAGCACGAAGAAATGCATAGCTCATACACGGGGTATTAGTCGGATGAGTAAAGGTGGCCGGTGTAGAACATTAGCATTGTACAAAAACCTCGACTACGAAACCCTCACTTTCGTGCGCCAAGTTACACTATCAGCCAAGGAACCGCAGAAAACGAGTACGAAC